GGCAGGCAGGGGTGGGTTACCCCGTTGTCGTGTCTGAGGTGTGTGTCGCCCCTCGTCTCGCATGGTTGACTAACTCTACGACGCACCGATACGGAACACGGCAGAATAGGTTATTGCGGGAGAGCGCCGTAGCTTCAAATGCGCTCGGGTGGCTAGCGAGGTCCGGGGCCGACGATCACGGCCGGTACAACGTCTCCAGACACAACGGGTAAGTGCTATACCTAGGATTGTGTGCTAGCCATTAGTGTGTCGACCGGTGGCGCCATCGGGTGTCGCCGGAGAGCGACGGAAACGCTACACATTTATCAAGAAATGGTAAAAAAAAACATGATTCTATGAATGTGAGTGTATACTCACGATACGTGTGATATATACGTGATTGCGTGTATACAGATATGTGATACATGATACAAAATATCAGTATGTGATACACAATATCATGAACACACATCTATACTGATATCATGAATGAATTAAAACAAATGAACGCTATATTTATTGTTAAGAAAATTTGCTTTTTTTTATCCACCCCTGCTGATATGTATAGCTGTGTATATAGTATATCCAGTGAGGCATGATACAAGTTTGCGTTACACAGCTTGGCTGTTGATCATGAGGCGTTGAGCGGCACCGACAACGCGCTGTTCCGCGGGATATATGCTCACGCGACCGCGGAGATGTTCAAGTATGAAGCGCTGACCGCCATACGTGCGCCAGAACGTTATATCAGTGATTCGCACATCGAAACGTTAAATGTAGTTTGTGTGGTGAGAGGGGCGGAGGGCGATGCCTGTTTAAGCGTGGCACTGCGTGTGAATCATCTTGGTTGATACAAATCACGTGCCTCAAACTCCTCAATGACGCCCCAGTGTATTCAAGGCACATTCATAACACGAAAAACCCCTATGCCTCGATAGCTGAACGCATAGAGCAGATACGACACTGCTGAAATGTCGTTGGATCGAATCCCGTCTGTTTTTTAATTATTTTCTTGTTTTCTGTATTTTTCTGTTTATCCATATCACGGTTGGTAGCAAGCAGATGCGTGATATTGTTCGATACAAGCGCATGCACGCACGTGTACGTACGCACGGACGCACGCACTCACGTGTACGTGCACACACACACTCATGCACGCACGCATGCACGCACGTGTACGTGCGCACGCACGTCTACGTGCACATGCATGCACGCACGCACATACGTGTACCTACACACACACGAACGTACGCACGCACACATGCACACACGTGTACCTGCACACGCACGCACGCACGCACGCACATGTACGCGATGTTTCATGTGTAGCGAATTCGACCCGCTACCACGCCACGCACGGCCACGGCACGCCACAAAGCATGGTACCTTCACGACGACGCGCACCGGGCACGCACGTGTACGTTGCGACACCACACGGTGGTGTGGCGCACGCACCGCTGCACGCACGTGTAAGGGTTAAGCACCACGCGACGGCCACGCACGACAGTTCTGTAAGCTTTACGGCCGGCTCGCCGTGCCAGCGCACGTGTGTACGGCACCGGCAGCGATGTACGTGCACACGCACGCACACAACTTCATGCACGCACGAGTGTACGTAGCGCCGCACGCTATACGAATCGCACATGAGCAACACGCGCGCACGCACGCACGCACGTGTACGTGCACGCACCACCAACGGGGACGCACCGCAACGCACGTTGTACGTGCACACACACGGGACGCACCGCTACGGCCACGTGTAACGTTGCGACCAGCGCACGCACCAACAGCTCATTGCTGCGGCGGCGCCACTCATGGGGACTTCAGTGATTCTCATGCAATAGCGATGTTTCATGTGTAGCGAATTCGACCCGCTGTACAACATACACTATAGCTAGCATGCGTCAGCATTACTTCAACCTTGAAGACGTACGGCTTCGTAGCCACGTGGGCTAGCAGCGGATTGGAAAGGAAAGCCTTGCTGCACCACTTGACCTATAGTTTAATTGGACTGGACACCTGCAGGTCACACGTGGGGTCACATGACTGTAACCACGTGGTGTCCCACGGCTGTATATAAGCTGCGGCGTCCAGCTCCAAAGCAACACAGAGCCAGCTTGGCTCAGTCAGGGAAGCTCGCACCCTCCCACTGCTCTCTAGCTGCTGGCGGCTTGTCCGCTTGTCCGCCCTGCTAGCTGACCATGTAGGGTGTAGCGGAGCTCGGTCAGAAGTCTACGCAAGGATACACAGCTCAGGACGATGATCACGCCGCTTGCTGCCCCCTTCCTGACGCAAGGATACACAGCGCGGAGCCAGCTCGGCTCAGTCAGGGAAGCTCGCACCCTCTCACTGCTCGCGCACGCACGCACGTGTAAGTTCGCACACACGTGTACGTCCGCACGCACGCACGCACGCAGCACGTACGTGTACGTGCCCTAAATAAACAGCGCTTTCTATCAGAACATGTGGTTATTCATCTGTAAATGTCAAGCAGCACGCTTTGCTTCTGCCAACCACAACACATAACAAATACACGTGACCTGATCTATGACGTCACGTGAAACATCGCTATTAGGCCTGCGCGATGGTGTGTGCATATGTTTGCTAGTGAATTAGACCCGCTAAAATTCGAGACTGTTCGCTGGCAGCAATTGATCCGTGCGCCGGCCTTTCGATTTGGCGCACGGATCAAAAGCTGCCAGTGCGTGATACTTTTGTAGGACGTTCCCGCGGTCGCGTGCGCCTTGCCGCGGAACTGCACGCAAGATTCGCGCTTAGTGGGCAGGATCAACACCTCTCAGGCGACGCTTCTCTGGTATCCGGTCTCTCATCTGGGTATGAGCGTGGATAGGCCTTGTCCATGGGCACTTGCAACGTTTTAAAAATAAAATGATGGTAAATAAACACGAATGTCATACGAATATAGATTCTTATATTCTTATATACTATAGTATATATTCTTGTTGTTTGGGCACAGCAGCGTGCGTGCGGTGTACTTGTGTGTTGCAGAGGAGCATTTTAACGGCATTTACAGGAAATTCTCAGTAATAATTAAGCGAAAGGGAGTAAAGAAACATTGAGACTTTGGTAGTAAATACATTTC